TAAGGGCCCATTAGACATCAACGCTCGTTGTCAACGCGCGCTTGCCATTACACAAACAATTTTTAAAAAATTTTTTAAACACGCCTCAGATAAAACAACAAATATACTAAAAAATCGCTCTCACATGAGAATTTTTTCTCCTACTTTTCTCCTACTTTGTGAAATGCGAAATTTGTTTGTGTAATAGTAACATTTGAAATTTTAAGAAATGTGTTGACGAAAATCAAAAAATTTTGATATTTCTTCAACCACGCTCGTGTTTTTGCATGTACAGTCGGATTTGGTCGGCATGCAAAATTTAATTTATTTTGAGGAGTAGAAGCGTAAACATCGTTTAAATGCACGCATGATTCGTCGTTAGCAAGCGATCCTTTGCAAATATGAATGAATTGTATCTTTTATTTTAAATATTTGTATTTTCTAAATAGGTAAAATTTTTTAATTTCCAAAACATGTTATTAAGAAGATTAAAATATTAATAACCTTGGGCTAAAAAAAAATAACTAAACATTAAGTTACAATGAAAATTTTGTTTTAAATATTAATTGCATTGTGCATTTACGGAAAATTTGTTATTAAAATATACCAAAAAAAAAAAATTAAATTATATAAAATATAATATATATAAAAATAAATATATAAATTGAAATCATAAAAATAAATATAAATATAAATATATAAATTAAAATTATAAATTAAATGTAAAACATCATTTTTCGTAAGGAAGTTACGCATAGCAGCCGCTGTCAACACTTCAGCGATTGCTTTAATACTGATGAGTGCACAAATTTTGCATTGTTTGCTGGAGGCGTGTTTAAAAAATTGTTGGTAAATTCAATGTGTAATGGAGAGAGAAGACTTCGTGTGTTTGTCAACGCGCGTTGATGTCTAAAGGCCACTTAACTCCACTATCAACTATCACTGACAATAGACTTTCTTCTCAAGACTTTCTGTGCTTTGTTCATACCTAACTTAATCAATTTAAAACGGAATAAGATTATAAACTACTCAATGTTTTTATATATTATTATATTAATATAATGTTATTTGTCATATTTTTTATTTTTATTATTTTATAATACTATAAAACATTCCTGATCACATACATTTCGTTAAATGATCCGCGGACAAGATTTTTTCGAATTAAATTATATTTTCGAAAATATGACGTTTGTCATATAGTTGTCTCTTTCTTCTATTACTTTGGCTGTTTGCATGCTTTCGAATAAGAAATACAACAAAAGGAAAGAAGTATTCAATGAATTGGTAACAAACGAGTTCGCAAATTTTTTGTTATCAATATTTTAAATAAAATAGACAATATAAATAATTAAATTAAATATTAATAATAACAAATGTAAAGAATAAGTTAAAAATAAAGTGTACGATTTCAAAGTAATTAAGACATAATTAAATTACTTTAGTGCGTACAAAGTCGAGTGTGACCAAAATCAAGTGCTTTTTAAATAATTATAGTTATTTAATAATATTAAGTTATTATTATTATTAAATATAGTAGATTTTTATTAACAAAAGAGTTTTAAGACTGCATATTTATATTTGCACTGCAAATTTTCAACAATTATAAAAATCAACATAATTGTGCTGAAGCACGGGTATAGCACCTCAGCAATTAAATCAGAACTCATTATGACTACGGTTAATATCAATTCACGCCCAAACATTCTAAAAAAACAAGGCACCGATCAGTGGGTTAAGCTCAATGTTGGCGGCACATACTTTCTGACCACGAAAACAACTCTTTCCCGCGACCCAAATTCCTTCTTGTCACGCTTAATACAAGAAGATTGTGATTTAATATCGGATCGGGTATGTATCAAAGCCAGTGGCACCACATGACATTCAATTAAAAGAAAATAATAATAAAAAAATAAATAATAAATAATTTTATTATTATAATCTTATCTAAAAACGTTTTATATAATTTGTCGATAATTAAATAATTGGAATTATTATTGAATCATTCGTTAATGTTGATAGCACATAATGTTTACTTTCTGCGCTGTGTTTGCCTTTCAGTTGAGGGTTAGTTGTTAGCGAGGGGAGCTCTATTATTGATTTAATTTTCCCTATTAAATACCTACTCATGACCTGTATAAAAATGTTTGTTTGAGCTTAAATTGGTGCAAAAATAATGTAAACAAGCGCAAAGGTAGTGTCCGTATGTGCGATGTACGATGTGCTGTGCTATGCTGTGTGCTGTGCTCCGCTGCTTGTGGGACGGCAGCAAGAGTCGGTATTTTCTATTCAAAATATAACAAAACAAAAAAAAAAAGCCACAAACGGTCATTTGCAATTAAAGCTTCCATGTATATTTTTTTAATTCAGTATTTTTGTTTGTTTTTATTATTAATGAAAAGAAATTAAAATGAATTTATTGTTTCCATTCCAAATTCCAAACAGTGTGAAGAAATGTGTTTATTCGTTTTTAAATGCCATTGCATGTGTTTGAAATTAAAACTAAATTGTTTTTTATAATTTTGTTTTTTTGCAAATTTATAGGATGAAACTGGTGCCTATTTGATTGACAGAGATCCAAAATATTTTGCGCCAGTGTTAAATTACTTGCGCCATGGTAAACTGGTACTAGACGGTGTGTCGGAAGAAGGTGTGCTGGAAGAAGCTGAATTCTATAACGTGACTCAGCTAATTGCCTTACTAAAAGAATGCATCAACCACAGAGATCAAGTAATTTTTATTAATAAATAATTTACATATGTGTATTTTTTTTTAATATATATGCTTTCATTCTATTTATAGAGGCCAAGTGGAGATAAAAAACGCGTCTACCGCGTACTTCAATGCCGTGAACAGGAACTGACACAGGTTCGTTGTACTCGTCAATATAAAACATTTTCATTTATGCGGGCAATATCGAAACAATTGCTTCAGTTTTAAAATTTTTCTTATACCAAAACATTTTCCCAGATACTAGCGTGCAATTTCAATTTTTTTTATATAAATTTTCATTGAATGAACAATGAATGAACAAAACAAATTACTTTTGTTTTGAAATTTGAATTTCGTTTCATTTTAATGATTTAATGCTTAATTTCAATTGACGTGGGAGAAGTTGAAATAAACAAATTATTTTACAACTTTCTAAATTCGATTAAATGACAAGAGCATTTTTGTCATTAAAAAATTTATAGGTTATTTTCATTTCTATTATATCTTTCTATATATATATACTCAATATATACATTTGTATAATAATATATTTAATTGGCTTTGTTCAATATGACTAAATACAGCCAATAAATCACGTAAGTGACAGCTGAGTGTGGGGGATTCATAGAATAATAATTTAATAAAAAAAAATTTTAATATTAATGTTTTTCTATTTATATTATTAAGTATTTTAATACTAAATGTAGCAACTACTATATACCTTGCAATTAAATAGTTTCTTCTCATTGAAATATTTGGCAGAATTGTTCAGATTTTTATCTCCATAGTTTATGTTTTAACAACATCTACGTTTGTACTGATATATACTTTGATTAACTTGAAATTTTAGATCACCACAATGAGATATAGTTGCCTCCGAGTTTAAATGTTGATCTTTGCAACTATCGCCTTTTAGACCTAACGTATTAGCGAGCACAGGGACATTATATATTAGACTTATGCAGCTTAATGCTTACATAGCCAATGTTAGTTTAAACCTCACTCATTGATAAGCAGGTTAAAACTAAATAACTAACTAACCAAATATCTAAGTTATAGTATTGCCAATATTTAGTTCAATTAAGTAATATTCCACTGGCTTTACATAACATAATAACTGTGATTTTATTTTTCATTTTAGTTTGATCTTTAGTTAGAATATATTGAGTATATATAAGTTCTAAACACTATATTTCCAATGTCTTGCGTTGTTGTAATTTATGTCATTTTACGATCCTTTCGGTCGTTGAATTTTCAATTCAGTAGTAAGCTATATTTAGTTCTGTGGGTTACAACAACAACAAAGGGCGACACATATGTGTTACATCTATGTATAGAATCTGGTGCCGCATACTAGGTTTTCTTTGTTGTTCTTATGATAATAGAATGTTCTTATGCTGATTTAGAATTGTAAAATAAACCATGAAATGATACATGGTAAGTTTTTTGTTACAATTTAATTGATATTGTCTTAAAATCTATTACTTGTATGAATAATCTGATCATAATAGTAATTTTGAAGATAAAATATTCTTCTAAATCGCGAAGTAGGCAAAATTTTTGAACATGAATGACTTAAGACAATATCCGTATTATAATGGTTCATAAATATATATATTTATGGTATATATATATATATCAATTGTTAATTTTCTTTAGCACATTTTGTTTGTTTTAGATAACACAAATAATTTTATTTATTGAAGTTTTTGTAATTCAATATTTTTTGTGTTTACTCAAGCTCAGCACGCTTAAATTCCTTATTATAACAATTTGTATGGTTTATATGAAAATATTTTGTTCATAAACAAATTTAATGATGAGAAAAAAATTTGAACTTTTTATTATATTCAAGAAATTTATTTATTGATTGTTTACATTTGTTTTGCCTTTAGATGATCTCAACGCTGTCCGACGGTTGGAGATTTGAACAGCTCATAAGTGTTGGCATGCAATTTTCAAATTATGGACCATTTGAAAACAATGAATTTCTTTGTGTTGTTTCGAAGGAATGTGGATCAACTGCCGGTCGTGAACTTGAAATAAATGACAGGGCCAAAGTGCTGCAACAGAAAGGTTCTAGAATGTAAGCCAGTGGATAATTTATACTATTTCGTTTAAATAATTTTTCTTTTATATTTAAAATTATATATAAATTTGTGCATAGCAATTTAAAATTGCCTTTTAGATAAAAGAAAAATAAAAGAAAAAAAATTAACAAAATAAAATATATGAATAGGAGTAAATGCAATTATAATAATAACATATTTCATAAAAAAAATAATTTTATATAAAACAATATAAATTATATATTAATGTAGTGTAATTAGAAGAGATCAATAGCGAGCGAGTGTTTAATACAAGTGTTCCAAATATTATTTGCGCTGTTTGAAAGTTTCAACATTTTTATGTTGGAGCATGATTTTACTCCATATTTACTCCTATTATTCGAGTATATTAGTGTTCGAGTATTTGCTAATATTCATATTTGTACACAACAATATGAAAATAAAATAAATAATAAATCAGATTTGTTCTTCTAGGAGCTCAAACATTTTTGAACATTTCAAACTTCGATTTGAAGTTCAATTTCGAACTGATCGAGCATCGTAATTCTTAAACACTTTACAGTTCTATAGAATAAGCATATGTCTTCTTTGATTACACTAAAAAAAATCAAAAAACATAATCATTAAGCATTAAATACGAAACACAGATACTATAAACAAGTCTTAGTCTCAACATGCATGTTTTTAATGTTGTTAAATTATAATAATTTTTTTTTATAATACTTGCAAATAGAACTTTTCCCACCGTCAACGTCACACACGTATCTTGTTTTAAATTTAATGGTGGGGTCTCGTAAATGTGTAAACAATAATAATTTCATATTCGTATTTATATTAGTAATTTAGTGATATTTAGTAAAGTAAATCAATTATTTATAAGATAAAATAAAAACCTAATGTGTATACAAGTGGGTAAGTTATTCGAAAGAAATGAACTCGTTAATTTTAGTAACGTAGTAAATAATTACGTAGAACGCACAAAAAAAAGTAGGGATATATATAAATATATGATATAA